AGTCTAAGAGTAACTGGGATTCTCCCGACTTTATCTATCATCATAAATATGTTATGTTCATATGGGCAACAAACTTGATAGTCTTATAGATGTAGAATTAACAAGTGTATCTAACGGTAAGTACATGACATAGGTGGAGTCACTTCTGACTCATACAAGAGGTTCTTGTGCTCTGAAAGGAGTCAAATCAAACATGAGTTTGATCCTGTAATATACCATTCATTTTGTTAAACCTTAAAATTTATTATGAGCCCAGGTGGCACAGTGATGGAACACTTGCCTGCTGCTGATGGGAAGGTTGGCAGTTTGAACTCACGAGCCTGTCTGTAGGAAAGCTCTGACAGTTGGCTTCTATAGATTACAACCTTCGGAAGCCATGGGGCAAGTTCTGCTCTTGTCCTACAGGTTCAATACGAGTTACAGAAATGCAGCCATCAACGTATCTTCATGAAAACTCTTGTCTAATGGCATATAAATGATGTGGTGAAGACCATTTGATAGAATGTGCACCTCAAAATAAAAATTTTAAAAGACTGTGATTCTGTGTCTTTTCAGATTGGCTATGTCTGAAATGTCACTCCCTGAACACTCCAGCTGAATTTCTTTATTTAGCACTTACTTCTTCTAACATAATATTCAATTTACTTATTGGTACTAATTGTGTTTTCAAACCCACATTAGAATGTAAATTCCTGGTAGGCAGGAATTTTAACTTTGGCCATTGGTGTAGTACCAAGTGCCTAGAATACCACCTGTTGTGTGCCATCAAGTTGATTCGGACTCATAACTACACTACAAGATTGAGTACAGGTGCCCCATAGGATTCCCAAGATTGCAATCATTGTGCCAAGTCCTGGTGTGGCACGCTAAGATAATGCACTGGACTGTAAGGTTGTTTGAACCACAAAGTTGGCGGTTCAAGCTCACCAGCCTTTCCTCAGAACCCCTACACGGGGTCGCTATGAGTTGGAATCAACTCGATGGCACTTAAGAACAACAATCATAGTGTGGTGCTGCAGGTTGATGCGCTGGACTGCAAGGTTGGTCTGAACCACAAGGTGGGCAGTTCAATCTCAACAGCCACTCCCTGAAAACTCTATACATGGTCACTATGAATTGGAACCAACTTGATGGCACTTAACAAGGTACCAGACAAGGAACCCTGATGGTGCAATGGTTAAGCACTCAGCTGCTAACCAGAAAGATAGTGTGAACCTACCAGCAGCTCTATGGGAGTAAAGAGCCACTGTCTGCTCTCAGATCGATTGTTGTTGTTCAGTGTCACCTAGTCTATTCCAACTCCTGGCAATCCTGTACAGTTTCCGAGGAGTGGCTGGTGAACTCGAACCACCACTGACTTTCTGGTACAAACCGACCTTTCAGTCCAGTGTCTTAACCCACAGCACCACACCAGGTCTCCCTGTACTTAATTGCACTCAAAATAATTCACTGAATAAAATTAAGTGGTAGGGCATGAGGTCAGGATGGGTTGGGGGTGGGGTATGCAGATTGTCTAGGACCTTGTAGAACACAGTATGAACTCATTCTGCAAGCTTAGTTTGTTTTGAAACTTTTTATTGTGAATTGAGTGAAGGTTTACAGAGCAAATCATCAGTTTTATATTCAACAAATCTTAATTTCTTCTCAATGATTGCAATCCCCTCCATGTAACAACGGAACAACTGCTATTCCATTTTCTCCTAGTGGTTATTTCCATTCCACCCTCCTTCCCAACCCTTCTGAACTGTGTACTTAGGTAAATGTGGCCCTTTTGAGCTAGAATGATTGGCCATTCCATGGTGAGTATACATTACTAGTGTTGCTGTTCCCCCTCTACACCTGTCTACTACTGCTTGGCTAAAAATTGGACCAGAAGGGTGAGCTCTAGTCCAGATCTGAAGGATGGCCAAGGGCCATACATAGTCTTGGGTTCCTCCAGCCTCTTTCTGACCAGTAAGCCTTTTTTTTTTTTTTTTTTGTAAGTTTTGTTCCACATTTTATCCCACTCTATCTGGTACTTTCTAACATGATCCCTTTCAGAGCAGCTTGTCTCAGAGTTGCGGTGACTGATGGTCACATGTTCCATTGGAGTAGCTGATTCCAAGCATCTTCAGTTCTCATCACTCTTCTTTTTTCCACAAATGGAGAGACCAATAGTTGCACCTTAGATGGCCACTCATGAGCTTTAGGTGCACCTTAGATGGCCACTCATGAGCTTTAAGATTCCAATAAGCTGACACAGTTTTAAAGCAACATTTGGCTACTGTGTTGAGATGGGATGTGTCGCAGGAAAAGGTGGAAGCAAGAAAACAGTAACAGGGTAGCTGTAGTAATCTGGGTTAGGAATACCAAGGGGTTTAACTAAAATTACTCTGAAGGTATAGCAAACATGATTTCCTGTCAGGTTGGATGCGAGGTGTGAGAGAATGAGAGGAATCGAGGATGACTACAAGTATTTCTAGGGTAAGCGAATGCAAGAAATGAACTGTAATCAATGGAGAAATGAGACTGTGGGAGGTGTATGTTTGAGGGCTGGGAGGAGATAAGTTACATTTTGGATATGTTATGATGAACATGCTCTGTTAGGTAGCCAAGAAGAGACACCCAAAGTAAATGGATCTAAGGCTAAAGTTTGGGAAATTTTCCAGGCAGAGGACATAAATTAGGTTCACTGCATAATGACGGGGATTAAAGGGGATGCACAGAAATGGACCCAGGCCTGAGAACCCCAACACTACATTTTATCACAGAAAGAGAACAAACCTCAGGGAACAGAACAAAACCCACCACAATGGATTCGATTCAGAAGCATAGTGAGGATCCTGTATAAGGCTTCCAAAGCTTGTAAATCTTTATAGGAGCAGAAAGCCTCATCTTTTTTCTGAGGAGGGGCTGGTGGATTTGAACTGCCAACTCTGTGGTTAGCAGTCCAGTACTTACTTTATAGCTTGATAAACTTATGAAAGACAGGCAAGAACAAGCAAATTATGAACATAATTTAAAGATAGAATTTATTCTCTGATGGTTTACTCATGCAAACTGCACATAGAGAAAATAGTACAGTTTGTGTAACATTGCAAATAGAAGGACTCAAAATGCTAGGTACAGAAGTAGTATGACATCTTGAAAGTCAAAATGGAGTTTGTGTTTGTACAACTAATAATGGAGTTTTATTTGCTGAATACAGATTGGTTTACAAAGAAAGTTTCGCTCACCTTAGTAAGCTCATTAACCGTTTACATGACTTCTTACATCTATGTAGTTTTATTTTACAGTTGCAAGAATTCTGTTACCAAAGAACTTTAACTTGTTGCATAAATAATATGATGAAAGAAATATGCACTGAAAGACTTAGGAGAGTGAACTGAGGCTTGTCCTAACTCATCAAAACTACAGTAAAAATAGCTTTCCTCCAGAATTCCTATTTTGTGCCTTTGAGATCAACTCCCTAGCAAAAATGTGGCAAAATCATGATTAGAAATGGGTTACCTTAAAATGATAAAATCAGTTAAAAATAATAAAATTTAGAAATAGAATTATCGACTAAAAAGTCTCTCATTTTTAAATAAGCCAAACAATAAAATTTCTATTATCCTCATACATAAAAGTCTTGAAATGTCATTTGTATAATTAGAATGTTTCCCAGATTGGAACTTAGGCAGGTGGGATATTTCCTTGAATTATCAAGGATATTTCATACAGGCTTTTAAAATGTCAGTCTCATTAGGAGATGGCACTGAGACTTTAGCAAATAGTGTAGTATGGATGCAGAACAAACTACACAACTTACTATAAATGCATTACAGATATTTACATACTGGAATCCTGCTAGAATGCCAGAAGTTGCTACTGGGTAGGACTCGTAACTATTTTACAACATTTTCATACACACATCTACTACATTTTTAATTTTTTAAAACAATTTAGTCTATTTTAAAATATTGTACTGCATTTTGAACATAACTGCAGAATAAAAATTGATAATGGCACGTTAGAAAACTCAGTATCCCACAGATGACTGGATAATGAGAGAAATGTACCTACAATCATCTCATCAGGAACAAACTACACCATGGAATGTCAGTTATCCAAGCCTGCACAGAAATGACATTTTAAACTGCAGTCATCTATTGGCCAGCATCACACTGAAGGCATCGTTAGACATTCAAGCCAAGACTGCTGGCATAAACTACTGAAGGACACACATAGCTCATCCGCACACACACACTCGTACACGTCCACACACAGACACTCATTCTTGCGTCTCACATTATAATTACATTGTTCTAAAGATAGATACTGATTTTTTTTTTTCCACGAGAAACGTTATCAAAATTTGCTACTAAAAGATGACAATGCTCTCACAAGAATCAGAACAAGTTAGCTCACGACACGACAACGGGGGAAACAGTCTTAAATTCTTTAAGTAGTAATTTCAGGCTTTCCTGGCAATCATACCATACTTGATTATGCATAAACTTCTCAGTTTGTAATCTGAAATCTAAAAAAAACAAAAAATCTAATTTAAAAAATTATTAGACACTGGGAAACCTTATATTGTACATGAAATAATTTCGTAGTTTTTCAGCCTCAAAACTTAGGGTAAATACTGAATTTAAGACTTGAAAAATAAAGTCATATTTGAAATGATGAAGGATTGCAAAATTCATGTCCATTTAAAATCTTACAAAAAGAAAACACTATTACTAATGACCTTGATCTGGTGTAAGAATGTGCACATAAGCACTGTATGTCTTTACTCTATTTTCAGTCACTGAAAAAACGTGTTCCCCAACAGTCTTCCTTTTGCATAATGTGCAAAATAAAAGGCAAAAAGATTAAAAGCAAATTTCTATCTTTCTCTTGCCTAGTGCTTTATGACCTTGTTAACATTACAAAGTCACTAGGGACTATGCAGAACTTTGGTATAAATGATCGAACAATACTAGCATCACAGTTGAGGGAGGTGGTCAAAAGAAATGGAAGTGGGAAGAGAGATTCAGTAACACCCCCATTTATTAAAATGCCACCAAATTAAAAGTGAAACAAACCACAATGAATTATAATACAATTTACACATTGAGCACAGAAAAATTAATAAATCTAACAATATTTATAAAAAAAAGCAAAACCAGTCTTTTTCCAGAGACTAAAATTAAAAATCTGTTGTTCAGTCTGAGCATCAACTCAGTTGCTACATCAACTTTAGAGCCGAATTTAATTTCAAGTAAAAAAAAAAAAATTTTTTTTACAAGCACAGATTTCACATAAATGGAAACTGGTCTTTCTTTGATTTCCCTTCGAAGTCACCAATGAGAATCTAAAGCGGATGCGCTGAAGTTTTCTAATCAGCTTCCTGAGGGCTGGGACTGGGAAGGAGGAGCCAGGACAAGCTGTGAAAGCGCAGGCTCTGTACTCTGGTCCGCCATCTGGGTGAGAACTGAAGTTGCCACAGCTTCTGCCTTGGATGTTGAACTGACCCCATTAGATGTGCTGACAGAACTATGCTGGATAGCTTCAGCATGTGGACTACTCGGCACAGAAAGGTCTTCGGAACTGTCATCTTTATCAGCAGCTGAGTGGGGAAAAAAAGAAACAATGACTCGTTTTCTTAAATAAAGTATTGGCGAGAACCTATCAGCAGATTAGTCCATTTCCAGAGAATAAAGTTAGAAGGTATTTTATGAAATATTATTTAGGTAAGTCAGTATGGCATTAATTGAATAATTTGAAAAGGTGACCAGAAGTCATGAAGTATGCAATTTAACTTGCAACAAGTCAAATGAGGGTACACAGTTGTGAGGTCTGGTATCTCACAAAGTAGACCTGAAGAAATAGTTGCTAAATGATGATAAGAAAGGAAGAGGTTTGGGATTTAGAGACAGCCTCTTATAATCAGATACTTATCAAGTTCTTGTAACATTTAGGTAAACCAATGCATCTAACAAAACTAGTTCTGTTTGCCTAGATGTCACGCTTATTGAAAGACAAAAAAATTTATAACTACATGCATCAAAGAAATGGAATCTTATACACAAATGATATTTGAAAATGATTCCCTCTGCAGTCTCCAGAACTATATTTATTCTGGCTGACTCTCCTATTGCAGCGATGGATGATTACAACACCTGATTCCAATGACGCAGACGCAGGAGAATAAGCAGTATTCAGAAATGAAATGCCACCAGCTGTTAGAGTTGCTTGAATTAATTGGGATTCGAATAAAAAATCCATATAAAACTCTAGATACTGCAGCTGAAAACATATTCAAGAAAGGGCATTCTAAATATTTATGAAAATAAATCTAATCTTTTTTATGCCTGAACAACAAATCTCCTACATCTTTCTGATTTTAGCAAAATGGAATCCAATTTCAGTTAGTGGAAAATCCAGTATTACACCACAGACACACACATTTCACAGCATATATAAGCGATGAAGCACAATGATAATATGCGCACTAGGAAGCAAGAGAATACTGGCAACACAGATGCTTCCTGGGAGTTCTTCCTGTACACCAAAGGGGGTTACCCTCCTGACATTGTCTCCTCTGCTGTTTTACCATAGAGGTCTGTCTGTATCACGAATACAGCTGAGTTTAACTTTTGAACTTTCTAAAAACAGTACCACACTGGATGTATGTATTCTTTTTGCACCTTGCCTTTTTTTTTCACTTGGCATTAAAAATAAGTTTTATTTAGTGTTTCAAAGTGACAAAAAACAGGCTTTTTATCAAACCTGAAAATGCACCTACATCTGTTTACTGCTAACCAGATGCTCATTTTGAAAGTCAATCAGCCTAACTAAGACTGTGGCGCCGATGAAAAGGACTCATCCTGTGGCCTTTAATGTAGGTGACGGAGGCGGAGAAGACAGCTTGGGAGAGTTTTCTGAAATACAGTCGTTCTTATAGAATTTTGACACATTTGTCTCAAATCCATGGACTTTTGAAAAGTAGATTATTAAAAATACATTGGTGAACTACAATCTATCTTCTCTATAAACTACCATTGGATATATGAAAAACCACACACTCCTGGATAAAAACTTATCCTCAAGACACAATTTAAAAGTCATAATTCATAATCTGTTTGAAATTACATAAAGTAGAAACAATACTTCTCTGATGGATGTTAAAAATATTTACAATTGAATTATTTCAATAGACCATACAATAGTTAAATGTTCAAAGAAAAAACTAGTAAGGACAGTTTAACTGGAGGAAAAACCATGAGCCCTGTGGTGAACAACTACTCTTCAGCAGCACAAATAGACAACTAGGTTCCAGGTGTACACTAGCCATCAAAAACCAAGTGGTGCACGTGTGACAAGTGGTGTAAGGAGTTATGCATACAAGGCAGCGCCTCAAAATGAAGCCAGACCTTACAAAGAAGAATAGCTTATCCATAGAATTTCAGAATTTTCCTTTTGAATGATCAAAATTCAAGTAAGCTTTCCCATTTAGGAAAATTATGTATGCATAATGCTAACCTCAGTAGCTTCTACAGGAAATTAAGTTGTTATGTCAGATGGGAGTCATAATGACCTCTTCCCTGCAGCAATCATTGTTAATATAAACCCCAAACATATTTCTATATGGCTCCAATTTTCTCCAAAATGGGTCTTACCAGCCTGTCAAAATGACTAGATATCAAAGGGCTGAGTAAGATTTATATGCTCAAAACTGACAAAAATCAGTGTGCTAAATATATATAGCAGTAGAGAGTTGCCAAATCTCCTGAATCTTTTAAATTAAAAAATATTGCCCTTTCTGATGAAACTGCTTATAATGACTACAAGTAAAGATGGTGGCCATTAAGTTTTATGGTGAGCACCTGAGGAACTGTTCGCAGCCAATACAAAATGTTTCTTTCTTTTGAATTACTGACACTGGCAAATTAAAATGAAGTGGATACATATGGTTGAAACAATCTTCACATTTACAAATATCCTGAAATATCACTAAATCATAAAAATGAAGGCTGTGGGTTATATATTATGAATGTTGCCTAATGCATTCCCAGCTCTGTTATTTGTTACAAATTTGTGTACCATGGACAAAATTGGCCATTTATTCAAGAAAAACAGCTGGTTCGAACATTGTGCATCTTATAAAAAAAGAAGAACATTACAAGAAAGGAAAGTACAATTAACCTTTAAAATGCTGAAAACAGAAGTATCTCATTTTGGGGAAAATATTTACAAGGAAACTTTACAAGCAGATAATTTAAATAAAGATCTGTTAGAATTCTTATAAGGCTAAACAACGATGGCTCAAAACAATAAAAACATTGCACAATGCTGGTATTATCAAAGAACAAGAGAAAAGTGATACTGTAAATGTATACTATATATCCGTAAGTGAAGACAACTGACTTAAAAAAAAAAAAAAACTAAAATCTTTTCTTACTACGTACTACAAGGAGGCTGAAAAGGAACCAATGGTTTCACTGTCAATCTAAGATAAGGTGGTACACTGAGACACACAAAACACCATCATGCTTATGGTACATTTAAAATGATTAGTTCACTTTTTCTGTTAACTTTATAGTGTTGTTGTTGTTAAGTGCCATCAAGTTGGTTCCGGCCCATAGCGACCCTGTACAGGGTTTCTGAGGAGCGGCTGGTGAGCTTGAACCACTCACTGACCTTGTGGTTCAAACCAACTCTGCAATCCAGTGCATTAACCCACAGTGTCCAGGAAATAGAAGCTCTGGTAGCGTAGTGGGTCATGAGTTGGTTGCAAACTGCAAGGTCAGCAATTCAAATCTACCAGCTGCTCCACAGGAGTAAGATAAGGCTTTCTGCTCTCGTCAAGATTTACAGCCTCAGAAACCCTATATAAGGTTGCTATGACATGAGTCAAAACTGACTCAACACACAACCACCACTACTAATGTCTAGAATAAAACAGCTACAAGTAAGAATACTGTTTTATGTTTCTCCTGTTTCTTTATAACCTTGCAGAAATTCTGATACTGAATCTTATATGTGAGAACCACAGCCTCCATTTCTGAATGGCAGCTTGGTTCTCTCTGATGGTACTGCACTGATGCAGCCTAATAGCTATAGGAAATGGACCATTACTCACTAGGGTAGCCAGATTTCTTCTGCATGGCGGTTACAGGGCAATCTTTATGAGCCAGAAGAAGCTGTTTCAGCTGTGCCACTTCATTTCTCAGCAGGGTGACTTCACTCTGGAGAAGAAACAACTCATGTACCTTACAGCAGCACCACACTAAACATATTTTTTACTGTTTAAAAAAAGCAATGATCAAGATATGAAAATTGGACATCTTCAACAACATCAAGGAATAAAGAAAATAGATGGCTTAATGATGTTTAATCAGTACATTTTGGTCTTTATAGTTGAAGCATTTATTCTAAAATTGGCAACTTTATATAGAAATTTTAAATAAAAATGTAGAGACCACAAATGGTTTCTACATTATCATTTGCCTTGGGCCTTCTTATGTATTATGGGACACCTGTTGAAGGTGTTTTTAGTTTAGAAAACTAAAATATGCTCTCATGACTACTTGGAAAATTAGAAATACCAAGTGAGTCAAGTTGAATTTTCACCAACACCACTCACTTGAAAATAAAACATTCACCATGGAAATCAATAAAGTCAGTTTTCAGTTTCCTAGAAACTGGGAAAAGTTCCAAAGTGAGAACCATAATAACCCAAGAATCACCAACATCTGGAATACACTGCAAGGTACTATGGTGGACATTAGAGTCAATGATGGCTTAGCTGTCTTTGATCCAGGTAATCTGTATACATCGAAACTGAAATCTGGTAAGACAATGGTGATTTATCCTACTCCTAATGACAGAATGAACCTTTGTTTGGGATGCATTCATCTGATAAACTCTATTAAAGTTTCAAATTGACTAAGTACAACTAATTCCCAAATCTAAAAAACAAATATAAACTAATGACTACTAACAACTCAAGCATTAGAAATAATATACATTTACGAAATTGATAATGTAAAAGTAAATGAGACAATAAAGGAAATAAGTGCATGAATCAAATCGTTCTTCATATTCCAATAAAAACTAAGCATACTGTATTTTACTACAGAACGACGATGAATGCTTATTAACAACTCTGAACCTGGTGTGGTGCTGCAGTGTAAGCACTAGACAGCTAATTGCAAGATCAGTGGTTCAAACCCACCAGATGCTCCTCGAAAACCCTATACTAGGGTCTCTGAGTCAGAACCAACTAGACAGCACTTAATAATAATAAGTCAAAACAGTGATTCCAAGTAGGTCTGTTAAATGTAAGGCAGAAAGGCCAGCTCAGAAAGTTAGGGTTAACTATTCTGGGGGACTTTAAAGGGGAAATCTGGATAGGTTTTCTCAAAGAACAGACGACCATCATGGGTGCTTATCAGGAAGAAGTTTTATGGAAATTGAAAACTGCATTGGTGAGAAAAAGTCAGGAAAGCTGTTCCCAGGAATGTTTTTCCATCACAGTAATACACACACCTGCTCATTCCTGGAGGGGAGCAAAGGTTGTCATATGAGAACTTCACTGGGAAACCTTCCATCTACCAGACAGTCCTGATCTTGCCCCTACAGACTTCTTTTCATTCCCCAAATCCAGAAAACATCTAAAGGGAATATGATTTAAGTCCCTCAAGGATGCCCAAACTGTCATTTGGACACAGTGTAAACTGAAGAGCACAGAATTCTTCAGGGAAGGGTCGAGAAAACAAAACGCCACCTCTAGAAGTGTACAGATCTAGCTGAATTACATGTCAAAAACAATAGCTTCACATTTTGAAATGATAAAGGTTTCCATGATTTTATTGCAGTACTTTTTTACTTACCCTTGTTAAAGAATATACAATGTATATCATTTCAATGATACACATTGAAATCCTCTCTTTAAAATAAGCAGATTTGACACTGTTAAAAAGAAAATCAGTGTCTACATCTCTAACTTAACAGTTAGTGGTGTTATGAGTATTCACCTAATTATACTACCTGATTCATTAACAAACATATGTGGTATCACTAACTAATCATGGGTAATGACTGAAAAGGTAAGGCATTTGATTTTTTCTTTTTAAAAAATATTAATTTATTTAAAGTAGAAGTTTACACAGAGAATTAGGTTCCCATCTAACAATTTCTACACAAGTTATTCAGTGATATTTGTTACATTTTCACAATGTGTCAACATTCTCATTTGATCTGTTCTGGTTGTTCCATTTCTGGTCCTCTAGATTCCCTGCCTTACCGTTTCTTCTTTGTTTTAGAGTAATTTTTGACAATTTGGTGTCATGTAAATGACTTTTTAAAGGAGCTTATTACTCAATTATGGTGATAGTCTTTATTTCATGAGCTCATCTGTCATTTTAGCTAAAAGGTGAGCTCATGAGATAATTTCATATTAAGGTATTTCATAATACTCTTATTTCATAAGAGCATTTCAGGGTGACAGTGTTGGGGAGTACTTTAGTCTCAACTGGCCCAGAAATTCTGGACTTTTTAAGAATTTCTGTTCCATTCCACATTTTCTCTTGTTATATCAGGATCCATTTATTGTAGAATACACTTGATTCTTGATATAATTGATCTTAAGCGTGTGTTAACTGGATTTTAACTGAAGTAATACTTAACAGAGCAAACAATTGAAAAGACCAAAAAGAATTAAAACCTGAAACTTCACATATTTTAGATAAACAGAATTCACATACATTTAATAGACTCATCAAGTATGTTATAAATTATATTGATCCAAAATTCATAACCAATTTCCCACCTGCAACTTTTAAATTACAGATGTGGTATGTAAAGAAACAAACAACAACAAAATTCAAGGTATGCGTAATAAAAATTCAGTCCAGTGTTTTTCACCATCCTGATCTAAAATGGTTCACAATGGCTATGGGTTTTCCTAATGATGATCCTGAAGCTACTTCTGGATAAAAGGTTAAAATATAGTTTGTATTATTACTACATTCTAATATTTTATTTCTTTAAAAGCTAATACAGACAGTAGACTGAAAGACACAAATGGGATCCAGCTACCGTTAAGGAGCATGGACTGGGAGAAAAACTTCAAAGCAAACAGAGCAAGGGGCCAGAACAGAAATGAGAGTGGACAAAGCCATGAAACAAATGGATTTAGTTGTCCTGCATTACCACAGTTGGTGGGCTATAGGTCGTCGAGGTAGTTCTGACTCACAGCAACCTTTTATAGGGATTCTGAGGCTATAAATCTTCACGGGAGCAGAAAGCCTCATCTTTCTCCAGCATAAGTTTATGTGTATGTTAGTGGCCAAGATCAGATCAAGTTGTTGTTAGGTGCCATCGAGTCAGTACCAACTCATAGTGACCCTCTGCACAACAGAACGAAAACACTGAACGGTCCTGGGACAACCTCACAATTGTTGCCACTTTGCCAATCCATCTCGTTGGGGGTCTTCCTCTTTTTCTCTGACCCTCCACCTTACCAAACATGATATCCTGCTTCAGAGAGTGGTCCCTCCTGAAAATATGTCCAAAGTATGAGAGACCAAGTTTGGCCATCCTGGCCTTCAAGGAACACTCTGGCTGTACTTCTACCAACACAGATCTGTTGGTTCTTTTGGTAGCCCATGGCACTTTCAATATTCTTCTCCAACCCCATAACGCAAATGCATCAATTCTTCTACAGTCTTCATTATTCACTGTCCAACTTTGCATGCATCTGAGGTTATTGAAAATACCGAGGCTTGGGTCAGGCACATCTTAGTCCTCAAGCTGACATCTCTGCTCTTCAACACTTTAAAAAAGTCTTGTGCAGCAGATTTGCCTAATGCAATACACCGTTTTGATTTCTTGATTGCTGCTTCCAAGGGTGTTGATGGTTGATCCAAGAAGAATGAAGTCCTTGACAACTTCAATCTTCTCTCCATTGGTAAGAATATTGTTTATTGGTCCAGTGGTAGGATTTTTGTTTTCTTTGCATTGAGATGCAATCCATACCAAAGACTGTAGCCTTTGATCTTCATCAGTAAGTATTTTCAGTCATCTTCACTTTCAGCAAGCAAGGTTGTATTATCTGCATATAACAGGTAGTTAATGAGTCTCCCTTCAATCCTGATGCCAAGTTTTTCTTCATATAACCCAGATTCACGGATTGTTTGCTCAACATACAGGCTGAATAAGTATGGTGAAAAAATACAACCCTTTCACACACCTTTCTTAACATCATTAGCCAAAACAAGGCCAAGGGCAGATTGAAGAACAGACCAATTGCTCATAGACAAATTCAGACTGAAGCTGAAGAAAATGAAAACAAGTCTACAAGAGCCAAAACATGACCTTGGATATATCCCACTCAAATTTAGATATCATCTGAAGAACAGATTTGATACATTAAACACTACAGACTGAAGACCAGAGGAGTTGTGGGATGACATCAAGAACATTATACAATACACACCTTGGAAAAACAGGGCTCTAGTATACAGGGATTAAGGCATGGTTTGAATGTGTAAAAGAGGGGAAATAATGTTAAGATGCTTGGCTGTTTTTTGAATCTTGGTTTTCCTTGCCTACCATGGTAAAATAGACACTTGAAGAGGAGGAGAGAAAGGAGTAGCCAGAAACATCACCATAGAAAGCCTGGGGCTAGAACTTGACCAGGGAAGGAGGCTTCCTGCGGAGCCTTTGCACTGTATAAGACCATTGCTGAATCTTGATCCCCATCCAGAATCTTCTGAGATGGGAAATTTCCACTTGAAAGGACAAGCAGACCAGCTTGAATTGGCTAGAAGAATAGAAGATACTTCTTGAAAGAAAGACCAGCAGGAAAAATACAAAACAATAATGGCAGCCTAATTGACTACTACTAAAACAAGCAAGTTGTTTGCCTGGGAGCCATCAAGGCAAGTGGTCAGGTCCCCTCAGGACAAACCCCCTTCCAAAACTAAGACTCAAGGGGAATACACGAGCAGGCATGTGGCCTTGCTGCTGACCATGTTGGTCATCGATAAGGGGAAGTGGGGGAAAAACAGCAATGAAGTTGTGAGCTAAGTCTGACCACATTCAATAGTCTCCTGTCAACCTGGCTGACACTTGGTTGGCCAGCAGTATGGCAAGACCTGGGGACTCCTGGGCCCAGAGACAATGACATGGCCATAGACTAGAGTGGAGAGTGGAGCATCCAGCAGATACAAAGTGAGGGCAC